TTTTAGGTTTTAGGCAAAATATGAAGCAGTTAGATCGTTAACAGTATGAATATTTATTGCTTTGCGGTTTAACGTATGCATTTGTGTTGGCAACATTTTTCCCTTTTCATGTGTTCGGGAGGAGTTTGCATAGGCTGAAACAGCACTGTTGCATTGCGGGGCCGGGTGAAATCTTAACCTCCAGCATGTATGAACGTCGTAGATTTGGCATGGAAGGGAATGATCATGGTTGGTCATGCACTGGAAATGATCAGGATGTTAGGAAGAAGGATGACGAAATTCCGCAAAATGCCCTCACTTTTGTGGCTGCTGTAAAATTGAGTACTTGTCATGTCCACGTGCAGGGAATTTAGTCCCCAAACTGAACATTCTACAGGTCGCTTATCTGGCAGAGGATTTGATTGCTTTTTGAGTAAAAACGGAGGGTGGGAAGAGGGGGGAGGGAGTGGCGAAAACTTTGCTATCCATTGCAAATAGGTCATTAAAGAAATTTCACTGAAAGGGCGAAAAGTAAATATTTGAATCAGTGTATAAAAACGCAGAGTATTGTGATGAGAGGTGTTAAGCATTGGGGCATGCAGGAACGAAATGTTGAAACAGATGGTTCGGTTTTCCATACTTACGAATGTTACTGACGTGGTCCAGCCGCGGTATTAAGCTAAGACGTATATGACTTAATGGACCGAGACGTCTTAACTCATTAATACTTAGTTCTTTCACACTAACTCTATTTCCACATCCATCCATATTTAGTTCGCTCCATTTCTGTCCTTCCTAATCTTCTAAATCTACCCGCATGCTACAATCAAGCTACAGTTAGCTTAACAAGGAAGTTTGTGGAGTTTAGGACAATTTTGTTTTGAACCCTGTGATGTTTGAAGTACAACGGGTAAGAGAAATTCCCTCGGGACTGTATTACTTCTATCTTAGTTGATTTGTTTTTTAAACACAAGCAATGATGCTGAATTGAGATTCAGCGGTTGTTTTTGGAAATGGAATTGCGGTTTCACGGCTCATGGCTTTTGCTGCTGACCGCACGGGATCTGAAAGTACTTTTGACTGGGAAGAGGTGTTCCTTTGCTGATAATTGACTTCGTTTTGTTCGCCGCCAGCCGTCGGCTTAACGCTGTTCTACCTTGCATCCTAGCGACTATCTTGATACTTCAGCGAAACTCAGTGGACCGAAAAGTGAAGAGTTTTTGGAAATTTCGATCGACTTTATTTGTTTAATTATTTAACGCTCCAATTGGGTATCGTATTGCGGCGCATCCTTGGTTTTTTGACTCTTGATTCACGTCCAGGCTAATTTTACAATTGAAAAGCGAACCAAACATTTGAAATTTTCTCGCTTCATTTGTAGCAAAGTGAGAATAAAATGTCGGCTGGAATCAGATTTTAAACTCCCTTGTGTGCTACGTCACATTCAAAAACGAGCTGAGATTATAACTGCTCGGTAAAGCATGCCTTGCACATGAAATTTCCGTGTTTTCATGTCAATTAATAGATCAAAAACCATCGGTTTTTGTATTGTTTGTCACCAATGAACATGCGACAGCTTATCGCTAAAACGCAAATTCGTGATGACTCTCGTTGCGTTTAGGTTTTCACATTCACATTTTATTCAGTCGTCAAGCAGGGT